CCGGTCGGGGTTAAGAAGTGGTAGGGTTTTTGCGTACTCCCCGGGAGCACCAGGCAAACCAGGAGAAGGAAGCCACTGCAGCTCAGGCAGCAACCCAGCAAGCCTTAGAAGGAATTGGAAAACTGTTGGCGGTCTTTGGTTTCGTCGGACCATCTGTGGCTCAGGATCAGCCGTCGACCTCTCCGGACTCCTACGACCCTAAGAACTACACCCAAGCTGCTGAAGTGGAACACATGGACTACACCCAAGCTGCTGAAGTGGAAAACATGGATGTCGATGGTGAGTATGGTAACGTGCAAAGGATAGTAAAATCTTGTCTAATCTCATCGTACTCCTTACGAGCACTTGCCCGTTTTTCTTATAAACATTGGATGTTAGTTCCACTTCAACCTATTGATTAGCGGTTACAATGATCATTCCATCAAATGCTGTTATGTCCCCTTGTATGCAGTATGAACTACATCTTAAATGCACATACAGTGTATATCTCTAACACAAAGGAATGTAAGTCATGTACAGGACTAAAATTTTGAGCTAAGTCAATTTTGTCACTCAAATTTGGCCGAGGATTATTTTATCATCAAAATTTTGGTGGGAAGGTTTCGTCACCCAAATTTGGTTGATAATGTTGTGTTAAGCAACAGCTACAGCCTTTGTCGCCCCAATTTGGGCTCAGTCACCAGAAGTTGGGGCAGCATTTACTGCTGAAATGAGCATTTACTCTGTCTGTATGGCATACATTTCACAGTGCGGGCTGGGTTCTTGTATATTTAAGTTACTTAGAGCCACAGTTTTTCGGTGAATTTGGAATTAAGATTTTAACTTACGGGGCCCGGAAATACTTATTATTTTTTTTTTTCTGTGTAAATTTTTTTTTTGTACAAGATCCAGTGGGCAGCAGAGCTATCCCCGAACTACCTCGCCCAAGGTTGGAGCTGCACTCGACAGCAAAGACATTCTGACACTGTGGGAAAACCTCCATCAACAGTCGCCGATCATGCTCAACTCAGAAGAGCACAAGGTACGACGATATGAATAGTCCAAGCACTGGACATTCCCTCCAGTAGGCTTGTCTGATTTTTGGATTATTTATCAATTTCCATCAAGGAACCTCACCGTACCTAGTATTGGTGAAGAGTACCTAATTGATCCAGGAAATGAAAGGAAGGAATTTCTTAGCTTATCTCCAATATGAGTTTTTATTTCATGATTGTACCCAAGAATGGTTTACGTCGTTCCGTGAAATAATTTGACCCCATCTCATGTAGGTTAATAAAAAATCCACTTTGAAAAGGAATTTAACTCAACTTAAAATTCTACAGTCGTTCGGGAGAACTAGTGAAACATGACTCTTTAGTCCATTTTAGCACAAATAGTCCATTTTAGCACAAAGATTTAGGGCATGCAAACCATCGGGGATCTTACACTTCTGAAAATTCTTACTGCTATTACTGAAGGTTATTTTTACGAATATCCATCTGCATCATTCATTGTTTAGTTTTCCCTGCTGACAGTATCTCTAATCATCCGAAAAACGATTAAATTTCAGTCGTCGTCCCCTTCCCTCTCTTTTCGCTTCATGGATCAACCTTCGCTTCCGAGAACTCGGTTTCCCGTTTAACTTGTGATCTCGTCCGAGTGAACAATTTATTTTGTGCTTCTGGACGATGCATTTAAATCTTCATTTTCTCTTGCGCTTCCACCAGGTGATGCTGGAGTCCTTGTCCGAGCAGCTCGCCGTGGAGGCTTTGGACGGGGCCTGTGCCGCGGGCTGCATGGCGCTCTTGATGGACAGGGAGGTGACTTCCGACCACGACTGGGTGTCGCTGTCTGTGCGCTACGTGGCCGACACTGGGGATGCCGTGGAGCGCTTGATTCTGGTGCAGGATGCGAGGTAATCTCCAAGATCCGTACCAAAATGATAACTCCCGTTTCTGTCCTTTTTTTTTTCGAAAGTCCCGTTTCAGTCCCACGATTGTGTGCTCAAAATCAACATTAAAGATTCACAATTTTTAGAACATGATTCGGAAGTTATCATCAATAGTCAAAATTCTACGGCTTGGTTTTGAATTTTCGCATCACGTTACGAAATTTGCGATGTTTGTAAAATTCATATCCGTGTTCGGAAAATTGTTATCAAAATTGCTTTGAAAATTCATAGTGTATGCTCAATTTCGTACCAAACTAGGAGCACGGGACAATTAAATAATAATTAGTATGTGTTGTGACGTTCGGCTCTCCTCGATATTTCCTTGGATTTTGTATGTGACGGCTTGTTCCATTTATATGTTTGCCTTCTGTTTCTCTTTAGGGATTTCAATGGATCTCCAACCGAATTCTCCTCTTACTTATTCAGACAGTTCAAGAATCTGTGCGGGAAAGCCAAAATGGACTGGCAGTACCCTCTGAAATTCTTGAGTGCAGTTGACTGCGGCCACTTTGGACCACACTTTGTGACGCTCGTCCGAGCTGAGGCGATACTTGTTCAAAACGTGGGAAGCATCTCTGTGCCCCTCGACAGACGGGTCGCTATTGCGTGCTACGAAACCCCTGCAGTCTCAGAACCCGTGAAGGACTACTTGCCCACATTTTTCAGCACCATTGACGTGTTGAGGCAACACTTCGCCATGAGCGGCCAGAGGTTCGGGTTACTGAGGCGCGTCTGCAACTATGTGGGTGAACGTGACCCGTGGCTGACTTACACATCATCCATCAAGTTCCTCCTTGAAAACCGAGCGAAATTCCCAAGACTGCTACAGCAATCTGTTGGTTTGGATCCAAGTCAGAAGCTCATCATGGCCTCTGTCCAGGAAAAATTAGATGAACAGTTGTTTATAACCTGTCTAGTAACATTCGATGGGGTGTTCAGTCAGCTTCAGGGCGCTCCAGAGCCTGACGTCGACTCAAGCAGTGGCTGGAAATCTATTTTGCGTCGTCTGGAAGGGCATGAACATGTTTTATCAGGCCCTGCATTCCAGGAATGTCTTGTAGAAAGAATCAAAGCCATTGGGCCTTACTACTATTTGCCACAAGAAGGCAAGGCTCGTTCCCTGATAGGCTTCGTAACGAAAGTGGCCAGCAAAGTCGTGAGCCAAATGTTGACAGCCTTTCGGGAGTGTTCTCTTCTATTAAATTGCTTGGAATCTGAGGAGGACAGGTCAAGAGGTGTGCTCGACTTCGGCCGCTACAAGTTCCATGAGGAGCTGTTGTCCTTGAGGAAGCTGTTTCCTCAGTGCAGCATGGATTCGCCTCAGGTAGTTCTGAGGAAGCTTCCTCGGTTTGAGTTCGTGAGAACCCGACCAGCTTTGCACCGAGCCCTGCAGCGCGTGGTGACCATGCCTCTGATCCCACCCGTGGGCCCGCGGTCCGCGGCACAGCTCCGTGACGGCGTGCGGCGTACCGCCGCCATCCTGCCTGCCATGGGCACCGCCGTGGTCTCGGTGGCCGTCTTCGCCTGCCGCCCCTCGGAGAACGCGCTCGCCAGGGCGCTGCTTGAAGTGCGAGCGAAGTGCCCCCAGCTCGCGGTCAGCCGCCCGGGACTCGTGGAAACCAGACTGTGACCTGTGGACACGGTGGTGCTGAAGCCTGTGCGCCTGGTTGGTACATTCGCTTTAAAGACTGTCGGAATCAAATGTACCTCCAGTTCCTGATACTTTCAGTTCGCAAGCACGATAGGGATGTGTTACTCACAGCTGAGTCTTAATTCGGTGATTTGTGTTGGAGTCTAGCATGGTGGTACTCCATTTTGCCTGTAAAGGTTTTTGATTGTTAATTTGCCCTGGAAGGGTTTTCGCGTCTAGCTTGGTGCGATTCCAATTTGTTTGTAAGTTAGGATTTGACATTGTTTATTTCTTTTTCTAGTGTGTTAATCGGTACATTTAAGTTCCTCCATGTATACCTTATACAGTACGAAGTAAGATAATAGCAGACTGTACATCATTGTGCGAGTTCCATGTTCTATAATCAAGTATGTTCTTCTAATTTGCATTGTAAGTCTTTTTTCTTTTGTAAAAATTTCTTTGCAGTATAATTTTATTTTTTCAGCTTTGAATCAGTCGCTGTTATTATTATCCCTGTCAATCAAAATAAAACTTTCTTTCAAACTGCAGTCCACGTCTCTCCAATGTTCCACTTCATTATTTCATCCTGCCATTTATACCCTCCCTGCTCAACTGATTCCAAAAGCGGTTTGTAAAGCCAGATGAGAAGCGGAACAACATCGGAGACAAACGTGTTGAAATTATGTATTACTTTCCTCTGATTTAGCCCTCAAATCTAACTGCTCAAAAACTTACATCGCCCCTTTTTGTTTTGCCCCGGAACATCTGTTAGCCTTAACACGGATAAAAATTTGGCGTATGACAACGCATAAATTGGGGTGTTAAGTCTCACACAGCGTAGGGTCAGTTGGGGTAATTATGGGACACGGGGTAAAAATGGGACAGCTGGTTCTTAGTCAAAATTTGACATTTTTGAACGCATCACATACCAAATGTGATGTTTATATTGAGAAAATAACATTTGCTACGGCACAAGTTCTAAAATCTCGATTCTTGCCTAAGAATCAGCTGTCCCATTTTTACCCCGTGTCCCATAATTACCCCAACTGACCCTACCATTTGAACGCGTGACCGCAAACGATCAAAACATTATAAAGAATTTGGAGCATTTGTAAGGCAACCTATTTATCTGAAATACCAAGAAATAGCTGGTAAAATTTTTCAGTAACCATGCACTGAAAGCGTGGGACACTTTGTCCCACGTTATCTAGTGCACGCCTGTCCCACACTTGGATTTACAGTGTGTGTGTGTGTGTGCCTACATAACCACGCACACATATAAATACAAACTATTTTTCTTTGTAAAGCCTAAAAAAGTTTGTAAGGTTTTCAGTGTTTCTAATCGAGCAATAACATATTTAGAACTTAACGAAGTCATTACCTTCATATCTGGACCGATTTCGCATCTAGTGCGGGTCGAGTCAAGTGAGGGCTGTCGCGTTTCCCTTGCACAGTGGCTGACGGGACCACAGCGCAGTGGGCCAGCCAGAAAACCGGTGGACGCAACGGGATTGGAGCTCCAGAGTCGTTAAATGGGGCTCTAACCGAACGTGTGACCGCACCAACGGATTGCTCTTCGAACGAGGAATCTATTAGTGAGGTCGCAGGTTCGGTTACAGTCCCGTTTAGCGACTCTGGGGCCCAAAACGCGCCTAGAGTTTTGGCCGCCTCCGGTCGTCTGGCCCACTGTACCGCCTGCCAGCTGCCGATAGGCAAGCCCGCAACACACTGGAGCGTGACGGGCGAACCTAGCCTCAAGTTCGCAGGCGCTACAACGACCGAAAGGCTGGTGCTTTTACTGTGACAAAATTTCATGGCACCACGAAAATGATACTATCCAAAATCTTGACGAGACAGTGTCGAAATATCCTTCGGAATGTCTGAGCTCGGTTCATCCGGAATACTTCAGTGCGTGAGGACGTCCAGACTCCCGCGACTGTCGTCCTGCTTCAGGGTTGGAGCTGCAGTTTTCCACGAGCCTGAAAGTGGGGGAAAAAAGGGATGCCTCCTGTGAGAATTGAACTCACGACCCCTGGTTTACGAGACCAGTGCTCTAACCCCTGAGCTAAGGAGGCTGAGATGCTCGAACCAGCACCTGGCGTCCATTTGAACACGGCTTCACTCCACAAAATCGGACAAAGTCGTTCGCATTTCGTAGCGTGCTGATAAGACTCGCCTCGCTGCTGTTGAATGTCGCTTGCGTGCCTCGTGTCAAATAAAACAATCAGACAGCGGTATGGTACAGTCTACGGTAAGTTAGCTCAGGGGTCTTGACATGTTCTCGACAGCAAGATGGCCAATGGCACCACACGCTGAATGTTTACATATGTTTATGTACAATTTGGTACGCGGCGTTGCATTATTTAAGACCTGTTAAACGGTTTCGCATAATAACTCTCAAATTTGCAAACATTTATGCATTTGTTCGCATCATAGTTTGCAAATATTACGTATGCACAAAATCGTACTTGTTAAATGTAACGTGCACGTACGGAATTGCTACGTAAACAGTGTGAAAGTTTGCTCAAATTTGTGACAGAGCACACTTAAAATGACTTGGAAAGAAAATTGGCTCTGTTTCTTTTCAACATCACCACTTTTGAGCGAACAGATAAGGATTTTTTTCGCGATTTTTTCTCTGCATATTTACAGCGAAAATGGAAATTTGAGTTGTCTGAAATTTCAGAGTGAGATTTCTTGCATGCGAGATGAGCCCGAGTGCCTGCTACCGTATGGCCACCGCAGATAGTGACACACTCTGACGTCACGTGGAAACCAATGTGAATCGTGACTCGTTTGTTGAATATTGTGTTTACGGTCGTGGCTCTCCCTGTCAGTAAGCTATCGCTACTTACTAAATTTTACGTAAAATACGACATATTACAGCTGTTCGTACAAACGAACTTTTCCTATGATTTTCATACGGGAATCTGCAAATTTCTTTAAGTAGGTGCAAAATGACGTACTAATAGAATGTGCATTATATGTGCTCAAATATAAACAACGCACTCGTACAAAATTTGCCCAAAAAAATTAGTGTGTAGCCAAGGCATGTTACTTAGTTATTAATTTTGTTCTTTGACTTGGGATTCGTAAAAGAAAACTTTAAGATTGATCTGTACGCAATTCTTTTGGATTTGCTTCCGGTCCCCTCCAGCGGAGTCTTGTCAGCCACACATTAAATGGTCGTCCGTAACTAGAGGCAGTGCAGCAGCTCGTGAAATCACAACGAAAAACCGTTACGCAAGACTTGGATCGACGAGGTGTACGCCTACACTGTCCTCGTCAGTCTGGCCGTCAGGCTGAGTTCAGTTCAGTGAGTACGTGTTGTGATCACACCTGACCGTAGACCAACACATCAAAATAAAGTGTACTGTATAGTCATTAACGTTTCTGTCTCAATTGTAGTTGATGGACTGGAGTCACCGCGAGCTTACACGGACACTCGGATTCCTGTCAGCCCTGGTACGTATTGCTGTGCTTGACGCACGATTTTCTGCTACACCCATTTACGTTATGGTGAATTTGGTGAATTAACTCCTCAGTCAGTACATTTTCCATACTACTACCCCATTGCAGTCGCTGGCGACTTAAGGAAGAATAAGAAGTAGCACGTAAACAGAAATTGCGTCCTAGACTACACTAAAGCCGTACTTCAGGGAAGTTTCCAAGAGGCATTCTGGTTCGGAATTACTCTAGCGGTACCTTGAGTTGAAGGGTGAATTTTATTATTTTCCTTGAGTAGGGTTGTCGTTCCGTGTTTGAACTAGCCGAAGATTTCTATTGGAAGTACATCTTTCACCTTTACTCAAAAGCACTTTCAGAAAAGTTGATTGAACGGTTAACTTTTAGTACATTTATTACCTAGTACTACTCTTTATTTACTTATCAATGACTCGATCGTATCCATCTTTTCGTCTTGTGTGCATTCGTTTGAATGTCATAAATGTTGTCATAAATTCTGTTTGTTTCCACCGTTCTTTGACAATTAGTCGAGGGTTGTGTGTGTAGTGTATCCCTTGTGTCTCGTTACAGTAACCTGCACTCCATCGCTCCGAGTCCTCGCTCGTGCACGAAAAATGCTCGCCAACTGTCCCGTTGGCCTGAAGAGGTCCGAGCCAGGCCTCCACCTTCAAGCTCACATCGGAACCCGCGCAGGGGAGAGGCCTTTGCAGTGTACGGTGTGTGACAAGACTTTCGAAACAAAATTTAACTTGCGGATGCATCTCCGTATCCACACCGGAGAGAGGCCTTTTGAGTGCGAAGTGTGCAAGAAAGCTTTTTCTCGTAAGGAAGACCTTATAAAGCACCTCCGCATCCACTCAGGGGAGAAGCCCTATGAGTGCGCGGTCTGCAAACAGAAGTTCATCCAAAGAGCACACCTCTACACTCACATGCGCACACACACTGGTGAAAAGCCGTTGGAGTGTGCGGTCTGCAGCAAAAAGTTCAGTACAGGCAGCCTACTTCGAGGGCATCTGAGAACGCACACGGGAGAGAAGCCTTTCGAGTGCTATGAGTGCAGCAAGAAGTTCAGAGACGGTAGCGACTTCAAAAGGCACCTCAAGACCCATACCGGCGAGAAGGCCTTTGAGTGCACAGAGTGCGAGAAGAAGTTTGTTGCAGGGGGCGACCTGCGACGGCATTTGAGGACCCATACCGAAGAGAAGCCCTTCAAGTGTGGAGAGTGCAAGAAGGAGTTCGCTCAGAGTGCCCACCTTGAGAGGCACAGAATGGTCCATTCGGGCGAGAAGCATTTTAAGTGCACAGCGTGCAAGAAGATGTTCAGAGACGGTGACGCACTCAGAAAGCATCTGCGTACGCACTCAGGAGAGAGGCCTTTCAAGTGCACAGTGTGCCACCAATGTTTCCATCGAGCCGACGGTCTGAAAAGGCACGCTAAGACCCATGCCCGGGCCAGCAGCCGTACTCCAGCCCATCAGGTGCGGTTACCTAGTTTCAAGTGTAGGTCATTCATTTTAAATAATACTTTTGCTACAAATTTTTGCGGAGAAAAACCAAGTTTGACTGTTTACTTCGAGTTTTTAAAACATGTGAATTCAATCCAAGAAGCCGAAATGCCTTCACTCTTATTCTCTTTGTTTGCAGCCTCTTCTTCATGGCACGCTGCTTCCAGTCTCCGGTGCAGCTTCCTGAAAAATGCTGAGCGGGATTAGTTTTTGTTTATTATGTATCTAATACATGAAGTTCGTTTTGTTTATTATGTATCTATTACATACAGTTCGTTTTTGTTTTCATTTTTATATTTGGAGGAGTTTTTACGACTAGTTTTCATGCTGTGTATCGGAGTGAAATAAATTTTCTCACACATTTTCTTCAAATAGTCTATTTCCTTACTATCCGTACTTTCAGCCTCGCGCTCTAAAACATGTCCTTCAACGACGCTGTAAGCGGGAAGAAGAACCCAGCAACAAATTGGCAGAGACACGACCACTAAAACGTTTGCGGCCCACAATGGAGCAGGAGTCCAGCGCAGGCGGCCATAACTCTAGACGCGTTTTGAGCTTCCGAGTCGCTAAATGGGACTCGAACCGAACGTGTGACCCAACCAATGAATTACTCTCCAAAACGAGGGATCCTATGGTGGAGTCACACGCTCGGTCCTGGTTATCGACTCCGCAGCTCAAAACGCGTGTAGAATTTTGGCCGCCTGCGTCGGTCTTCTGGCCCACTATGAGACGGTACCACAGTGTTAGGAACTCAACCCTGTTTTGGTAGGCATTACGCTGGGAACCCAGGTATTTGACGTCACATTCGCTTGAACGTGACTCGAGGCCGGCCTCTAGCCGAGTCACGCTGACATATTCACGCAAACTTCGTAGGACTCACATTAAAAAGAACCAGACAAGACATCCCTGGACGATTTTCATCGTATCACAACACGTGCACCAACTTCTGCCATAGTGCCAATTGAAGGGGAGTGACAATCATGAATTTTCAGACAGGGCAACATTGTGTTGTTTTGCCCAAATCGATAGTTTTGAAGTTTCCAACCCTGTTCGTGAAAACACAAATGCACCATTGAAACCTAGCAGATCATTTTCACAAGACGAAACTTTTCCTTGGAATTACAGTCAATAATTCATTTGCAACCTTACGAAGAAATTTGCTTTTCACAAACTTTTCTAGCGTGGAGTTCGTGCGGCTCTTCGTTACTCGTCTTAATGAGTTTTCGACAGAAACAATGATTATCTTCAACTCCTGTGCACGTTCACAGAACGCGTCACTCAGTATATAAGGGCAGGGCACCGCGTGCGGGAGACATCCATTCGCAACCATGTCTCGTGCGGTGCTCCTCCTGGTCGTTGTCGTGGCCGTGAGTATTTGATAGAAAATTTACTTGCCACAGTGAACTTACGTCAAGAAAATTTACTGGCAGCAAGTGAATTTACTTAAAGAAATTTAACTAGCAACAAGTGAATCTACTTCTAGAAATAGAAAACTTTTCTCCCATCAAGTGCATTGACCAGATTGGTCCAAATTCACTTAGGGTCAGGGCGGGGAAAACCTGGACAGGGGAAGAACTGAAAACCCCATAGTTTACTTCAAATACCGTAGCACAGGTATAACAACCATCAAAGGTTGTGCCGTGGCACTAGCGGTTCATTACATGATGGTTGTTAAGCCTGTGCATACGGGATTTGAAGTAAAACATGGGGTGTTGTTCAGTTCTCTTCCCCTGTCCAGTTTATCCCGCACTGACCCTATGGCCGGTAATTTAAGAGTTTTTTCTTCGTTTCTGTTCTTTTTGGAGGGGTTTCTGTAACGAAAGGTTGGTGATTGTAGGTGTGCGCCCTGACTGAGGGCTCCTTCAAGCACCGCCTTCACAAGGGCGTCGAGAAGATAAAGCACGCCGCGTACAAGGGCGCGGCCCTCGGCGCCGCGACGGTGGGCGCCACGGTCGGTGTGGTCTCGGGGACCGCCGAGGTCATCGGTGGCGAGGTCCTGCACGGCGCGCAAAAGGTCAAGGACAAGGTCGTCAGCAAGGTCAACCACGCGCGACAACACGTGGCCGACGCCATCGCACCGCACCGCCAATATTAACTGTCAGACCGAGCAGTAGTCCGAACAGAAACATGATTACCTGAGGATTGTGTGTGCACTGTAAAAAATTTTTGTAGTCAAATTCCTATACATGTATATGAAACAATTCACATATACATGTATAGGAATATTACCACACACTTGTATGGCAATCTGCCTATACATCGGTATGGCATTATGACCATACGTGTATAGGCGTTGTCTTATCTGTTGTAAAAGGATTTTTCCTATACATCGGTATAGCAAAATTGCAATGCATGTATAGAATTTCTCCGATTTAGGGAAAAAAATGCAAATTATGCAGGCCGCAAAACTGAATCGTGGCAGATATTGTACGCGAAGGTCAAAGTTCTCGCCGGTTAGTCCTAATGCCTGTCGTCCGGTGAACCGGTTCACCAATGTGGCGAAGTCCGTCGCCTCCAACTATCCTCATCAAAAGAGCGAGGACTAGTCTTGGTCAAAAATTGTGGGTAAGGTCGGAACGTCGGAACGATGTCCGACTTCCTTCTATGTCGGGAGAGCGCCTGCCTCGTCACCCAACGAAATTCCCAACCGCAGCACCCACCGAGAAGTAAGTCCGTGAAAACGACACTAGCGCCATCTAGCGGATAATCCGGATTATAGGCAAAGAAGCAGCTTCGCGACTTTTGTCACAAGTGAATTATTACTCGCACTGATTACCAATATTTGTACAGGTCACAAGGATTTCAATCGTATTTAACTGTTTCTAACAAAGCTCCCTTGGCCCTATTGCTATACACGTATTGCAAAATTCCTATACAGGAAGGACCCTTCGTAAAATTTGGGCTACGACATGCGGGGAAGCTGTCCGCGTCCCATTTTCGGTCCCTTTCCTAAGCAACACGGACCCCAAAAATCGGAAAAACCAAAAATCGGGGGTCGCCCGGAACTTTGCCTATTTCCTATAACATGGTTGGGAATTTTCCCCCTAGACCAAACTGATTAAAATTCCGAGATTTTGTGTGTCATTGCCCAACCCTCGCACAAGGGATGTATACGTCCCAGAAAAATGTATGATTTTCCGAAGAGCGTGTATTTTCCTGAATGCCCGTTCACTACAAATACAACGTTCATTACTTAACGGCCAAAGAAATCACTAACTGCAATGAATGTCAGCGTGGAGGGTGGGGGGCATTGATTAGGTTACGCAATTTTGGACACTTTCAGACACGTTACGCAGGTCGTCCCCTCTGTCCAAAGAGCGCTACGTCATCAACACATTTCACTTTATTCGACCCGTTTCTGGCGTTTATATTTTATTCTATTCTGTTCTAAGAACTAAACTTACATATTTTATTAAATGAAATTCAACTAAAGATTGAAAGATGCCTCGCACATCACTATATTTCAAACTATTTGCTTATTTTTAAGTCCACCACCGCAAAAAAAATTGGGGCGATGGAGTTCACGGTCTACAGGTATGCAAGCCAGCATGCAGTGCACAGTGGGCCTGAAGACCGGTGGAGGCGGCCTAAACTCTAGACGCGTTTTGAGCTCCAGAGCCGCTATATGGGACTGGAACCGAACGAGTGACCCACCAATGAATAGCTATTGCTCTCCGAACGAGGAATCCATTGGTGGGGTCACACGTTCGGTTCGAGTCCCATTTAGCGACTCTGGAGCTCAAAACGCGTCTGGAGTTTTGGCCGCCGCACCGGCCTCCTGGCCCACTGTGCAGTGGACACACAGTGCTTCATTCAGTTGAGTCGCATGAAGAGCTGCGTGAACGAGTACCAGCTGCTAAGCATTCGGTGCAGCCTGGGCAGGGACAGAGGCCCCACCCAGCGGGCCTTGATGTTGACGGGCTTGGAGGCACGCAGCATGACGGCCAGCAGGTCCCTGTTGAAGGCCAGCCCCGCGGGACCCTGCAACCATAGGGCTCGGCACTTGAACTAACCCTGAACAGTGTGCCAGAAGACGGGTCGGTGCAGGCGGCCAAAACCGTTTAGGATTTTCTTTACCTCCACCGGTCTTCTGGCGCACTGTACATATGTGCGTAAATCTCCGAAATTTACCATAAGGCACCACTTCGAGTTCATCATTTAGAGCATGCGTAAGGTAACAAACAGAAATGTAGTTACGAACTGTTTCTACTTAATGACAATCTAAACAATTTGCACCTCACGTGCACTCTAAATATGGAGTGCCCAGAAACTGGGCGCCTTTGTCGACCGCCCCACTTTTTACGGTGCCAAATGTCGCCCAGTTTCTAGGCATCTTTGTCGCCCAGTCTCGGGGTGGACAAATACAGTAAGCGGCCCACTCCCATGGTAGAGCATGCTCCGGTGGCTAGTTCCTGGGCGACTAAGGTGCCCAGATTATGGGCACCTTTTGGCACCTTTTGAGCCATGGGTGAAGGCAGGTTCCTTAATGGTTTGTCCAACCCGAGACTAGGCGACAAAGGTGCCCAGAAACTGGGCGATATTTGGCACCCTAAAATGTGGGGCGGGCGACGAAGGCACCCAGTTTCTGGGCACCCCATATTTAGAGTGTAAGCGCAAAATACTTCGTTGGATTTTAATCGTTATAAGTTTTAAGGTCCCGTGCCTGAAACAGCTGGCCCTGCCACGGGCTGTGGAAGGCCATGGGCAGCATTTGTTCCGCGGACTCTGCCACCAGGTCGCCCTCCAGCCCCAGGACCGTGGTGTAGGCGAAGGCGATGGGCAGCAGGCCCGCGACGTAGAGGTCGCGGTAGCCCTTGACCAGCGACGTAGTGGCGAGCAGCGCGAACACCAGCGAGCCGGCGTGGATGTGGTACAGGGGCACCTCGAACAGGCGGCTGAAGCGGTCGGCCACCTACACCCAGAAAAATGGTTTCTTGATTTTTTATTTTCTTGGTTTTCGTAAGAAAAATAATCTTGACACAAGAAAAATTTTCTTCTTTCAAAAAAAAAATTGGATCAAGAAATTTTTTTTTGCAAAAACCAAGAAAAAGTAAATTTTTCTTGATTCAAGAAGTCATTTTTTTGGGTGTAGTGGGCCAGAAGACCGGTGGAGGCGGTCAAAATCCCGAACGCGTTTTGAGCTCCAGAGTCGCTAAACCGGACTCGAACCGAACGTGTGACCCCACCAATGGATATTGCTCTCTGAACGAGGAATCCATTGGTGGGGTCACACGTTCGGTAGGCACCTGGAGAAGGGCGCGGTGGTCGTCCAGCACGAGGTGGAGCTGCGCGCGGCTGTTGGCGTTCTTGACTGCGAGGGCCAAGGTGCGGAGCAGCGCGGCGGACACCAGCGCAAGCGTTACGTG